GGGAAGCCAGCACAACTTATTCAGGATAAGGTCATGGAAGCTCCCTGGTGAAATCCAAACTCCCTGAGGGACCAAATTGCTGGGATGAGGGCTGTGGGAACCATGGTCTCAGGGAACATCTAGCTCAACCAGCATAATATAGTATATAAAGAAAATGTTCTACATTCTACTTTGGTGTGTAGCATATGGAGTCTTAAAAGCCTGTGAGCAGCTATCTAAGATACTCCACTCGTCTCGCCCCTTTGGGAGCAAGGGAAAATGAAGAAAACTAAAGACACAAAGGAAAGATTAGTCCAACGGACTAACAGACCACAATTACCACAGCCTCCACCAGACTGAGTCCAGTACAACTAGATGGTGCCCAGCTGCCACCACTGACTGCTCTGACAGGGATCACAACAGAGGGTCCCGGCCAGAGCTGGAGAAAAATGTAGAACAAAATTCTAACTCACAAAAGACCAGACTTACCAGCCTGACAGAGACTGGAGAAACCCCTAGAGTATGGCCCCCAGACACCCTTTTAGCTCAGTAATGAAGTCACTCCGGAGGCTCACATTTTAGCCAAAGATTAGACAGACCCATAGGACAAAATGAGACTAAAAGGGCACACCAGCCCAGGGGCAAGGACTCGGACTAGAAGGCAGGACAGGACAGGAAAGCTGGTAAAAGGGAACCTAAGTTCGAGAAGGGAGAGTACTGACATGTCATGGGGTTGTTAGACAATGTCATAAAAGAATATATGTACTGTTTAATGAGAAGCTAGTTTGTTTTGTAAATCTTCATCTAAAGTACAATAAAAAAAAAGAAACAATCCAAAAAAAAAAAAAAATTTTTGACCAAAAGACTTTCTTTGTGTCCCTTAGTCATTAGTTCAGCTCTTCTTGGTATAAATATTTCTCATACCAGCTGATGAATTAATCATACTGATTTAAAAAAAAAAAAAGGAATACATTTCCTAAGGCTATAGCTGCGATAGATAGTGAATCTGGGCAAAGTAAATTGAAAACCTTTTGGAAAGGATGCACCGTTCCAGATGCCATGAAGAACATTTGTGATTCATGGGAGGAAGTCAAAATACCAACATTAAAAGGTGTTTGGAAGAAGCTGATTCCAATCCTCACAGATGATTTTGAGAGGTTCAAGACTTCAGTGGAGGAAGTAACTGAAAATGTGGTAGAAACAGCAAGATACCTAAAATTAGAAGTGGAGCCTCAAGATGTGACTGAATTGCTGCAATCTCATGATAAAACTTTAACAAATGAGGAGTTGCTTCTTATGGATGAGCAAAGAAAGTGGTTTCTTGGGATGGGATCTACTCCTGGTGAAGATGCTGTGAACACTGTTGAAATGACAACAAAATATTTAGAATATTACATAAACTTGGTTGATAAAACAGTAGTAGGGTTTGAGAGGATTGATTCCAATTTTGAAAGAAGTTCTGCTGTGGGTAAAATGCTATCAAACAGCAATGCATGCTACAGAGAAATCTTTTGTGAAAGGAAAAATCAATGAGGCAAACTTTATTGTTTTCTTATTTTAAGAAATTGCCACAGTCACCCTAATCTTCTTTAACCACCACCCTGATCAGTCAGCTGCCAACAACATCAAGGCAAGACTCTCCACCAGCAAAAAGATTATCAATCACCAAAGGCTCAGATGATGGTTAGCATTCATTAGCAATAAAGTATTTTTTAATTAAGGTATGTACACTGTGTTTTTAGACATAATGCTACTGTACACTTAACAGACTACCTTATAGTGTAAATGTAACTTTTATATGCACTGGGAAATCAAAAAAATTCATGTGACTCACTTTATTGTGGTTGTCTGGAACTGAACCCACATTATCTCCAAGGTATGCGTGTAAATAAAATAAGGTTTAAAAAATATCTCCAATTCATGAGGATCCAGTCACTTCTGGTTGATGACCCTTGATTTCTTAGTTTTTGCTTTTTTCCCAACATGAAGTAACATAATTTTTCATAAATATATCTTTAAAATTTTGCAATAGGCCTTAAATCTATATATTTATAACCTAATCAAAGGCAGTGATTTAGCTCAATTAGTTTTAGTTTTAATTCTAAATGTATTTCTCCTACTCAGAACCATATTAAAACCAACAGCTATAAAGGGAGCTGTTGATTAATTTTCAGTGAAAAGCCAAAACTGGGTATACTACATGGGAGTCCCCGGGTGGCACAAAAAATTAAACACTTGACTACTAACCGAAAGGTGGGCAGTTCAAACCTACCCAGAGGAGCCTTGAAAGAAAGGCATGGCAATCTGCTTCCAAAAGGTCACAGAGTAGAGTGCAGTTCTACTCTGACACACATGGGGTCACCACGAGTAGGAATTGACTCAATGGCAACTAATTTGTTTTCTTTTTAGTACATACAAGTAGTATGTATACCTTTATCCTTTATCACTCAAAATACAAAAGCCTATTTGAAGTCAGTGGAATTACACTGTACGCATAGGAGGAGGAAATGGAATGCATGGCTAATTGCTTCCATGAACAACTGCCTCCTTTGCCATGAGACCAGAAGAACTGAATGGTGCCTGGCTACCATTACTGAACGTTTTGATCAAAGTTACTACAGAAGAATCCTGATCAAAAAGGGAAAAATGCAAAACAGAATTTTAATTTCTTATGAAATCCAGATTTCTGGAGCCATAGAGGCTGGATGAACCCCTGAAACTACCGCCCTGAAATAATCTTTAAACTTTAAACCAAAAATATCCCCTGTAAGTCTTCTTAAAACCAAAGAATAGTTTAGCTTAACTCGTAAAGAATGTCTGCCTTGAGCACTGTGCTCTCTTAAGATCTATCTATATGGGCTCAAATTGACGGCAGCAATTTGAAAGATTAGATAGGAAACTTAGGGGGCAGTGAGTTTGTTAATGGGAGAAGAACAACTAGGAAAAGGAGGGTGAGAATGTTGCATAACCTGACGAATGTAATCAACGTCATTGAATTTTACATGTAGAAATTGCTGAATTAGTGTATGTTCTGATGTATATATTCTCAACAACAAAAATAAATCATAAACAAAAAAGGGGGGTACTCTCTTGACTTCTGATGTTAAGAAAGTACTGTTTGATTATTAGAACTTTAAAAATGGATGCTCCTCTGCTTTTGTGGGGGAAGGGTTAGTATATCTGTGAAGATATTTCCATATTTAGTATCCTCCGGATAATAACCTCAACATTTTGCTAAGGAGCATCGTAACACAAAAATGTGATGCAAGTATAGTTTCTCTTTAAATTAAATGCTAAGGATTTACAAAACTGTATCACTAGTATAATACTTCTAAGACTACAGGAATCTGATTTATGAAATTAGGCTGGCCAAAATTCCAAAAAATAGATCTGGTGACTGTCCCCTTCCATATGTGGTTCCATCTTATCCATCAAACCTGTGATTTCCATTTACTCTTGAACATTAATCCCCTTTTGTGTAAGTCACTCATCCTCGACACAGTCCTCCCAGTCACACGTACTGATTGCTCCTTCTAGCTCCAGACATTTGCCCCCAATGTTCTTTCCCAGAAAGTTCCTCCTGTTGTTTGTTGTTAAACCTGGTGCCTAGCACATGGTAGGTGCTGCTGAATAAATTGGATACATTGGATTTAAGGTCGCAAAATATCCACCCTCTTTCATAGAGCACCCCTGGCTATTTTACAGTGATCATTCCTCTCTCTACACTTCTACAGGATTTTCAGTCAGAGATCTGAGCATAAACAATACCTGGAAAGAGTATTTGTGCAAGCACTCTTAAAAGATAATTAAGAATACAAAATACTATCTGTCTAATCTAGATTAATTTGCATTTTGAATATCTGTCAAATACAACATATTTTATTAAGAAAACATCAATATAACATATGCATATTTGTAAAACATGGGAAGCAAAGGCTGAAAGGAATTTATAGAAAAAAACATTATGAAACAATGTTCTTATATACCAAAGGCAACACTGGTCAGGTTGCTGGGAATGGTCCCTTGACATAGCATAGAAGTCGAGAGTAGTCTCAAACAGGGCTGTGTCCTGGCTGCCCTTCTTTAAACTGACAGGTAAGTGGCTGATCTGAGTATGTGCATCCTTGCTACAGAGAACAGTTGCCTTTCTCTTGATGGTGATAAGATTTTATTGTCACAAACTATGGATGGTTTCAATAAGAAATTTATCTATTGCTATTCAATTGCTATGCTATTTATTCTGAGGAACAAAGATTAAAAATTCACTACATGCAAAAAGCACACAAGGATAATTTGGGCAGCAAGGGGTCCACCACTCACCTGAGACTAGGCAAGTCAGGGACCATCCTGAGCCTCAATTTTCTCATTTAGCCAATGAGAATACCTGCCTGGCTATTTCATAAGGTTCTTAAGGAAATTAAATGAGATAATGTGAGAATGTACTTGCAAAGAGATATATAACAGAGCCCTTTGAAAGAGACGTTGAAGGATTTGAATTTCTGAGCATAAACAAAAGACTCAGGCTAAAATACTGATTCCATTTATAACTGAATAATTAATTACATTTAGATATATAGCTTTTAAAATATACACTAAATGACCATCAAAGTTACTGTAATCTAAATAGAAATGGTGATACAAATGCAATGTATATACGCAGCTTCTGGAAAGAAAGCATTTTTAAAAAGGACTAGAACTTTGAGTTCAAACCCTGGCACCTGGATAAAAACAGGCAGAGGCCAAAAGAACACCACCAAAAATTTAAAGACAATAAATACCTTTTCCCCTTATTACTATAATTCAAAATAGCCTGGGAAGAGAGAAAGAAAAATTACATTTCCTTCTGAAAGTCCTGCCCCAATTAAAATTCTAAATGTCTCTTACACCAAGAGCACTGGTTTATTGGCAGATTATTAAGCCCTGGACCAATGTCACTCTGTTAGACCTGTATTAAAAACATGGTTTATGTGGTGCAGGGTCAGATCAGTAAAGAGCTGTTAGCAGATGACAGGTTTGATTACCGCTGGCTGCAGGCAAGACATATGGATCCCTGAGGAACAGCAGCACCGGCTGGTGGGACAGTTTGCTGGAAAGGTCAAGAACAGGCATGTCAGCATCAGGGGACGACGGTAAACAGAAAACACTACAAACTAGCTTTGAGGGGATCAAACTGCTGTGTGGGGATGTCTCAAGGTCTATGTATCTAACGGTGTGGGTGAGTAATAGCAAACAGAGTTAAAGGGAACAAACTAACACCACGCTCATCTTCTAAACATTTACTTGTGGAATTTGAAGCAGATACACAATCTGTACAATAAATCACTGCTGAAAGGTTTTGTTTGTTAATCTTGTAGTATGATTATCGATGAAACTGTGTTCTTATTACTTATATCAAACAACTCAGAGCTCTTACTACTTCGTTCCTAAATGTAATTAGTTACTCCTGTAACCACCTTTCAAATATTTATAATCTTAAAACCAATTTTCCAACAAAGGCTTTCAAGAAAAACGTCACTTAACACACTTATGCCATGGGTGATTAAATACTTAACAAAAGCCCAGTCCTATTCTTGGTCTGTATATCTCCTAATTGACTAGTACTTGTTCTTACCTTGACTCCTCAGATTCTGTCTCATCAAAAGATCTACAGTTTTTAAGAGAGAAAGAAAAAAGGTATAAACTGGGTCAATGTCTATGCCAACAAAGGGAAAACAGCCGGTATTCTTAAAGCACTGAATTGGGAGAGATTCTGAAAAGAGTTAGGACTTTTCACTGAGCCACAGTGTGGCAAGTGCCTTGTTCTAGGGACTTGTAAGGCTGGTATATTCTTTAATTTGATTTTTCCTGATGGTCACTTAAAAGACTATAGTTTTATTACTACTTTTGGGCCTGTACAGGGGAGAAAAGATTTCACTCACTGTAATTTACCAGCATCTCTTAAAAATAAAAAAACACACATGATGCCCAACCTCCCAGTAAACGCACACAAGTTGGAACGGAACACACTGACGACACATGTTATTTGGTGAGAGCAGGATCTAATTCTTTCTCTGAGGTGAGTGCGTTAGTGAGCAGCCCTGCTTGAATGCTGCCAGTGACGGGGCTGTGAAGGGGATCGTAGCCTCTCATTCAGCTAATGGCTGGGGTTTAACACTCCTTTGGGTGTGGTCTGCTTTACCTTAAACATTCTGTAGTTAGTGTGGTTCCTTCAGGCAGGTCTGGAGGCAGCAAGAAAACTGATAAAACTCTCTCCTGCTAGGGTTTGCAGAGTTTGTGATAACTGGTTTCTTTGTGAATGGATTTACTACACCAGGGATGTTGCTGGCTGCCTCCAGAGGCTAGCTCAACCCAGAGCATTCCATGGTTTCAGTGTTAATTCTTCAGAAAGGCTTTGCAAGTTGCTGATGATATCAAACCTCTGATTCCTTAGTAGATAGGGATGAGGATCTCCAACCCTGTCTTTCAGAAGTTCCCAAGGGAGAGGCGGCAAGATAATGGAGAAAGAGCTTTGGCCCATACAATGTGAGGCCTGGGCTCTGCCAGGTACAAGGTGAAAGATCTTGGGAAAGGCATTTAACTCCTTGCGTCTCAGTTTGCACAACTATTAAATGAGGGGAGTTCAGTCAGACGATCTCTAAGGTCATTTATAGCGTTAACATGATATAAGTGTATGTGTCAAGGGGATATGGACTTTGCCTGAGTATCCACAAATAAACAAATTAGCCCCTAAGCAGACTATCTAGATCCACAGTTCCCACCATATAACTTCATTCTATGTAACAGCATAATTTAAAATGCCGATCACCTCCATCTAAACATGAGTTACTGATCCTTGCAAGATGGGTGTATGGGCTTTAGAGGAATTCCTTTGGCTACAAGCAGGGGGCAAGCGAGTGCTGTCGCAAGCCAAGACAGTGGGCACGGCTAGACTGGCCCTTCTGGCACCACTGGCTGTATTTGCTAGACCAATAAGTTACTGAATAGTAACTTAAAATGCATGTCCAATATGTAACAATAATGCTTACCCACAACTCTCTGCCTTTGGTAGAGAGGGCAAGTGTCGTACATTTAGGAAATCAAGAAACAGTTTGGGAAGTTCTTCATTTTCCAGAATGACAGCCTGTGAAAGCAGAAAACAAAAACTGAGGTGAAGTTTGCTAGGCAATCAATCAAATGAACTATTTCAAAAAGTCATAATTGTCCATCAAGTTTTTACCAGCATCACTCCTCACAGTCCACACGAGGGGCGGCCCCCATTTTGCCCACCAAGAATTCAGGCAAACACACATGACACACATCAGAAAATGTAGCATTTTATTTATTCCTTCATTCAACCAGCATTTGCAGAACACCTACTTTACTCCCGATGCCAAGCTAGGGCACCAGAGAGTGGGGAACCAGGTAGACAAAAGTCTCTGCCTTCATCGAGCTTCTAATCCAGGATGAATATTTCAAAACCTGGGAATATCAGTAACACTCCTAATACATGTAAAACTTTCCTTACTTAGTGATAAAATGTCCTGATATGTACATGTATTTCCACAAAAGACCACTGTTGTTTAGGAATACTATAAATGTTTTTTCTAACTGATTTAGTCAAGCCCCTGAGCGCTAACAGTTACTGCTATTAGGATCAACTGACATTTCTTGCCATTTAGACAACTCAAAGATTCAGTAACAACTTTATCATTAAGTGTAATTCAGCATATATATGTTTTTAAATCTATAGAGTTCTTCCATTTAGGTAGCTCTGCTAAGTAGATGGCATAATGGCATAAGCATGTCAGTATTCATATCCATATTATGCAATTTCAAAGAGAAATCTGATGGAGTTAACTATAGGGTGCATTTTCATATATTTGTATTTTTAAAAGAATCTGCCAGAGTGTTTGAACTGATTGCGCACTTATAATCCTCCCCTTTTTAAACAAAGACCATGGGAGAAAAGCATCAGGATTATATTATGAAGTCTAAAATTCATATAACTATTCTTAGGGGTCATTATTATAATTTACCATCGCTAAGTTTTTTTTCCAATAAGCACATATTATTGAAAGAACAAGGAGAAAAGATGGTGAAATTTCATTCACACAGCTCATTAGGGATAGTGATGTAATGATGCACAAGGTATATAACAAATGACAAAGGCAAGGTCAAATTACGTATCGTGTATAACTCTATATAATGTTGCATTTTTAGCCATAATTAACGTACTAAGTTGCCCCATTTCTCGAAGAGCTTGGGAATACTGCTATTTGTTCCAGGGTAACAGTGAGGGACTACACAGGTTGCCAGTCCTACCCAGGCTGAACCTTGTACTCCTCTAGTGTTCAACCCTCCTGCAGAGGGGTCATCTGGAGATCCAGCCCTGTCTGGGGCTGTTACTATTCCCCATGCAGCCCACTGTACACACTAAAGCTTAAGGAATAAAAGAGAAGTGTTTGAGGATATACTTTATTCATTCAACCAACACTTACTGGGCATCTATTATGTTAGGCACTGCAATATGGTGGGGAATACAGGTTCAGTGGCGTGTGGGTTGTGGAGAAGATGAGTGATAAACAAAGACATATACATACATAAAAACTTAAATTTGCCTTAGAATATAGTGATATAGAGTCAAAACACTGTATCACTCTCTAAATGATTTCCCTACCCTTAATTCTTCATCCATCCATCCATCCATGCATCCATCCATGCATCCATCCATCCATGAATCCGTCCATTTGTATATGTATGTGTGTATGTACAAACACATACACACACATATTCATACATACACTCATATACAAAATGTTTACTTTCCTGTTACAAAGTGGGGGGGGGGGAGAAAAATTTAGGGGGGAAAAAAATACTCTGCCCAGAGGCATAATTTCATTACTATTTCAGTTCAATTCCTTCAAATCATTCGACTTTTTTCTAAACGTTTACCTATCTGAGGAAATTTTTTGGTTGTCCAGAGGGTCATTATTTCCATACCCTGAACTCAAAGCTTCTCGAACTCATACATATGAAACTCCAAAGACTTTCTGACATAACACAAGTTGCAATGACTATCAATTTGTTTCAAGATATCTGTTTAAGAGGATGACATTAATACCTATATGAATAATAGAGCTTAATGCTGTAACAAATATAGATCTGTTCACCCAGGCAATAGTTTTAATTATGTGTACAAGTGGTAGCTTTCAGATTAAAAAAAGAAAATGAGGAGGGGCAACATTCTTATCTCCACCCCCACCTTTTAAAATAAATTAAATCAATAACAAGTGTGGGACACTTTTAATGACCCGAACTACTTAATTTCCAGGATCTTTAGACATGTCATCCATCACTGCAGTATGGAGGAAGACATCTCTTGAGTGTTCAGGGGGTTACTTTGATTTTATTAATGCAAGATTTAGGGAATTTTAACAAGGTGAATTGTTTATTTGCCTTGACAGATTGGCTTACAATGCACTGGCTACATCTACAGCATGATCATTAATGACAAAAGACAGGCAAAAAGCTGTTTACACTGCAACACCAGGAATTAATCCCGCTCAGCCTCCCCAAACAGAGTACTCCAAATAGATGATCACATTGTTTTAGGTAAGACATACCGGCAAAAAACGAATACAGAAAACTCCAGAAATTTGTATTTATTTCTGTTAAACGTTCATTGAATATCCTCAAACATTTTCTATAAAATAATGACTGACATGTATTTCAGGATTTACAGTGATTAAAAAGAGCAACAGTGGGGAGTCAGTTAAGCATTCAGTTATGTAGGCAGGGATATTTCCTATACTATATGTCAAGAAGGCTTGTAAGAAAGGAATTAACACTTAAGTCCAAACAGAGATGATGTGCAATTCAGCAGAATTTGCCTAATTCAATATAATATGTCAAAGTGAAATGACTGTCATTAATTAGTACAGAGATAAGAGAAAGAAATCAGATCAACCAAATCATAAACAGAGGGGCTCATTTAATGATGAACGGAACAGTGAAGTGGGGCCATGAGACCGTTCTATACACAACTTCTTCAGTATCTTGAAAAGCTTTTGCTCATATGCTCAGGGACCCCAGTCTGGTCTAAATTACCTGACTTTATTCAACAGATAAGCTGCTAAAAATTTTTTTTAATATATGTCACACATTTTTGCATATCAAATCATAATTCCCCACTGTTTTAGATTGCTTATCTTTGTTTTGGATTAATCTTTTGGTCATACTGTTCTTCAGAGAGGCAGTATAGTGCAGTATGAAATATGTGGGCTTTGGGGCCAGACAGTACTGGGTTCGAATCCCTCCTCTGTAACTTGCTAGCCATGTGGTCTGGGCTAGTGTTTAATCTCTCTGGGCTTCCATTTCTTCTGCAAATGTTAATAATGCCTACCTTAAAAGGTTGTTGAAGTCCCTGGGTGGTACAAATGGTTAATGCATCTGGCTGCTAACTGAAAGATTAGAGGTTTGAGTCCACCCAGAGGCACCTCAGAAAAAAGGCCTGGCGATCTACTTCCCAAAAATCAGCTATTGAAAACCCTATGGAGTAGAGTTCTACTTTGACACACATGGGGTTGTCATAAGTTGAAATCAACTCGATGGCAACTGGTGGTTAAAAGGTTGTTGTAAGGATTAAATCAGACGTCTCCAAGAGTCCCTGGCACACAATTTCCATTCAATAAGCGCTAATTCTCTTTTGAGTCTTTTTATTTGTCAACTCCCAACAACCTATTTTATTGGTCTTGAAAGTTTGGATTATTGTCCATCTAGTCAACAGAGCTTCTTAGCATGGATCCCTTTGAAAACTGGATGAAAGCTGAGCACCCTGCTTGCTGAAAAACACACATACATCTATAATTCAGTTTATATGTGCAGGGCTTCACAGACCTCTGCCAGCCGAGCCAAGGACCCTGCTTTTGGCTCAGTCGTAGTAGTAACACCGCTGGGCAAGCTTTTCATTTGGCCTGGAGCTCGATGCACTGTGGGGTCTGTGCTGTATGCCAGTTCCCCAAAGGACATGCTGGCCTTCTCGTTTCAGTTTTCTACCTCTTTGTCTATTAGAACCCTGCTGGAGTGTGTGCTGCCTTGCTATTAGAATTCATTAACGCTTTCGGCTCTGTGCTGCGGTTGGAAATCTTAGTCTGGCTGTAGGCTGGCTGGTGAAGTGAAAGATTCTTTCTGATAAATGAAAATCCTACTGCAGAACCGATCCTAGAAAGCAGCACAGAATTCATGGTTTCCGTGTTATCTATATATTACTCTAGAATGCAACAGTCAGTGGTGAGAAGGCTTCCCAAAGTTAACAAAACATTAAGGAAAACAAGGATTTAAAGCTCTACTGCTGCTAGGTCAAAGTGCAGCTGGTGAAGCACTAGTATGCCAACCTGTACGGCAGGGGCATTTTGAACTGTTGGGCAGTGACAGGTCCCAGGCCCAGTGCTATCTAACTGATTAGCGAGGAGTCTGGTGGTAGAATTCTGACACAGCTCATCCATTCTCTGACGCAAGTTGCGATGCATCGCTGGGCAACTAATAATATTTGCAGTAAAACATCAGAATTCAAAATAAACTTAACACATTGGAAAAAGTCAGAAATAAATCCCATTAAATTAAAATGTACAGGTATAAGTACTGAGTGAGACACTATAAAGGGGCAGAAAGAATTATTCAGAGACAGGAGGGAGAGTGGATGTTTATGTACAAGTGCTGTTGGTCTTAAGTGGCAGTTTGGCAAGAAGTGTTGCCTCCACAATGTGTAAAATGAGCAGAGCAATCCTCTACCTCCACTAACGGCATTATTCTTTAGTCCCCAGAGAGAAATTAAGAATAAACTTAGGAAGAGCTGGAAGCAAGCAAAGAAAATGATCAGAAGATTCCCAAACTGTTTCCATCAGAAAAGGTCATTCAATAGTGGGTACCAAGCAAGGGAATCAGGCGGTGGAGGGCCAAGGGTATCTGATCTGTAAGCAACTAGCCATTCTGTTAAGGAGGGTGGTGACTGGTTACCCGCCATTTTCAAAGCTGCAGGAATGAAAAAAAAGTACTGTCAACATGAGCAGAGGAGTAGTCTAATTGAAATTTGTGCAATTAAACTAGCAAAGTGGCACATGGATGGGAAGAGCATTTACCTAT